TCATCTTTGGGCAATCCTCCAGGAGGCTTGGAGTAATATATCAAGTCAATGTTTGAATAAACTGACTGCTCGGATGCCTAGTGTTGTCCCTTATTATCAATGCAAAATGGTCACTAACTAAAGAGGATTTATGCTGATATTGCCCAAAAACCCTATTTTGTTCAGGCGTTTCCAAACTTTTGGAGGGCAGTGTAAGTATTCTTCTTCTTGGAAAAAAAAATGATTCCCTGCATACAGTACCTTGTATAAGTATTCACCTCCCTTTAAGTTTTCCATATTTTGTAGTGTTACAGTCTGGAATTGCAGTGGAAGTTAACAGGGATTATATATCATACATCTACCTTAATATTAAAGACTGCAAAATGATTTACAAAAAAAAATAATAAAATGGAATGATTGTTCAAGTATTCACCCCTATTTCTGTGAAACCCCTCAATTAGTGCCTCAGAAGTCACATAACTGTTAAAGTGTCACATGATCTCAGTATATCCAGAGTTGTTAGAGAACATACAGAAACAAAAAGCATCATGTAGACCAAGGAGCTATCATGTCCAGGGCAAAGTTCTGGAAAAGTATGAGTCAGGATTTGCTTAGAAAAAAATACCCCAAACTTTCCCAAACACGGCCACAGAGCACTGTTATTAAATGGAAATAATATAGCAAAACCACAAATCTGAGGTTTAACACCGAATGTCAGTGACTGGGTGGAGACGGGATTACAGTAAATAATTGCGTAATCATATGAATAACACTAAAACATCACTGAAAAAAAAAACGTATTTAAATGGTTATTCGGATAAATAGGGTTCTTGGCTTCCTAATGAGGCTGTACTTGGAACTCTTTCTGATAGGAAAATACTTACCTGTTGGTTTATACTGTACATCAAGCCTTTAAGGCTTTCCCCAGAGAGACAAAGAACTGTCAGTGGTTGATTAATGGAACAAACAAAATGTTTATATGACATGTAGACCTTTTTTTAAGTGTTCTTTAACCAGTGTGTATCAATGAATGAAAACAGAAGCCATGTGCTCAATCCTTTTGCAGCACAGACCCTTTTATCTGTAAAATAGATTCAAAGGACCCCATCAGTAGATTAATTTTATTAACATAATATGAACAATTACACTGCAGGTGTACCCTTCACGCACAGTCATGCAGTTATCTAATCAGCCAGTCATGTGGCAGCAGCACAATGCATCAATCATGCAGATACAGGTCAAGAGCTTCGGTTAATGTTCACGTCAAACATAAGAATGAAGATAAAGTGTGATCTCTGTGACTTGGATCATGGCATGGATGTTGGTACAAGATTGGCTGGTAGTGTATTTTAATATTAGGTCCATGATTTAAATGTGTTCAATAATATCTTGGCTAGCGATAGAGATGTTTAATTCTGAACGCCACTGACAGAATGCATTAGGTCCAAGTGGACATTATTTACTGGCTAAGGTTTTTGAGTTATTGAATTAAACCTATTCAAATGATCAGTTAAATAGGCTAATAATTGTAAGAACTAAATAATAAATATAACATCTTTGATAATGGTGGGTTGTGATTTCCACCACTGTAACAAGATTGAAAAAAGATCCCCTAGTTAGGCTTCACGGACCCCTGTCCGTTCCAAGACAGATGTTGAGAACCACTGCATTAAGGGGTTCATGCATCTTTCACTTAATTTAAAATTACAAAGCAAACATAACATAACAACAAGCAGCTCTAAAATGTTTAAACACTCTCTGGTTGTGTGTGGCTTGTGCATAATATTGCCTTGACTAAATATTGTATTTGTGATTGTCTAATGCAGTAAACCCTTAGACAAACACTAAGGCAATAAACCATAAGCTTTTTTAATATTTAATCTGGCCTCTCATTATAGTCACCATACTCCAGGACTTTGATTATATGTTCATCATTTACTTTAATTTCCTGTAATTTTCTGTTAGAGAGGACAGAACAGATTTTTACTGTTGCACTTGTTTCTAATGTTGATATCTTCTGCATATTCTACACACTTAGAAACTTAGTGATGTACACTATGTTTACAAGTGAAAAATGTACAGTAGTCCTCTGAGCACAGGTTGGAAAGGGATCAGATAAGATCAGAGACACTGAAGTACCATAGACTGGGTGACCCATCCAAGTGCACACACACACACACCCGGAGCAGAGGACAGCTTTTTTTTTTTTTTTTTTTTTTTTTAACTGTGGTGCCCTGCTCAAGGGTCTCACCTCAGTCATGGTATTGAGGGTGGAGGAGAGCGCTGGTCATTCACTCCCCCCACCTACAATCCCTGCCAGACCTGAGACTCGAACCTACAACCTTCGCGTTACAAGGCTGACGCCCTAACCATTAGGCCACAACTGCCCCTGTGATGTTGTGTGTGATGTTGTGTGTGATGTTGTCTGTGATGTTGGTCACCTGAGCACAAGTCATTGGAAAGTGATTTACGTGCCAGGTGGTATGGGATGCCTTTCAAATTATTTGAAGAAAGCAAGTCAATTTCACGCTTTGCTTCATGAGTGTCAAATGGAGTTTTACTAAGCACAATGTTCACATCAGAGTTAATATGGTGCAATGTTCTAAACATTTCAGTAGAAGAATAAACTGTGACTAAAGTGTCACTTAGTTACATAGTTGACAGTGACACATAGTCATGTAGTTGACAGTATCATGTAGTCACATAGTAGACGGGGTCACGTAGTCAAATAGGGCTATATGCAGTGTTGGTGTCTTAAGTCAGAGACTAAAGTCCAAAGGTTATGTCAGTATTTTCAAAGAGAGATTTACAGGTATTATGGTTATCCAAGTTTTGTTCATCCACTTATCTAGCTCCAGAGGGAAAAAAATGTTAGGATATATCCACTTATGACCACTCGTTGGTTACAAATTCAGACCATTTCCAAACTGATTTCAGATTCTGTGACTATACATTCATGGCTCATGTTCTGTTCATCCTGTGACAGTGTAATGCCCTAAATTGCTTCAAATGTATGGTTGATAGGGCACCTGAATGGCCAGGATCCCTGAGCACGTGCTCAGTAGACCCAGCCGGTAATCTGTCCCTGATTAATAGTATCATGTAGTTGACATTGATGCCAAAAAATGTGTGGATTACAACTGATTCTAAAACAGAGAAAAGTCTAGACAGCTGGACTTACATCCTAGGCAAACCTAAACAATAATAACAAATCAACGAGTTGGGTCACTGAGCAATCTTTAAAAAGCTATGGAGTGGATGTATGCCTTCGGCTTGTGACATTATGCACCTGTCATTCATGTCTCGAGAAATTATGAATAGTTTGTCAAGTCAGATTAATTGTGCTACATAGCCTCACTGCACAAATGAACACTTTCAAGAGTGTCCTCCCAATTTGCATTTTTATTTGACTTTTTTTCAGTACATGTTGTGATTGTGCTGTTCATCATCTTGAGTGCCAGTGGATATCAAGATCCTATTTCAAAATGTCTTCAAGATGATGACTATGATGAGCTTCTTAAGATAGTCAACCAAGGCCTTCCCCCATCAAAGACCCCTCACCGTGTGGCCATCATTGGTGGGGGCATTGCTGGACTTACTGCAGCTAAGTTCCTAGAGGATGCTGGACATAAGGTAAATGGAGCTTAGTCCACAATCCACATCCATGTATTCTCTTATGCAATTCTTGGCTTTCCTGCATAAACTATTTGGAGAATTATCAATTGTCTCTTTACAATTTCCACCACCTATTATACTATGTGCATTTTGTAATAGTTTATTTTTAGATGACTGTAAAACCGTGATAAGGCAGCGACAGAAATGAAGATACAGGAAAACAGCTATGTTTTTATTTATTTTTACCAGAGCAGTTTTTTAGCCCTTCATTAAGCAAAATAAATTACATCTTCAAAACACAGGGCGTGCGCAATGTTTCTGCTGTCATTGGTCTGCTCACAGTGAACATCAGCTCTGCCTGTGTAGACTTTCTGTCACAGGCTAAACCTCACTACAGCACAAACAGACAATAAATGCACTTCATTATTAACCACACACACAGGTGTAAGCACTCATTCATCACCTGCTCATTCCCTGCTCCTCCTCTTTCCATTCACAGCCAGTGCTTGATTTGCTCTGGCTGCCACAATGACATGCTCATATTTGTTGTATGGCACAGCACACATGTTGTAATGCTGGACAAAAATCAAAGCTGACAGAAAAATCTCTAAAAGAGATGAGAACTTATGGAATCTTAGAAAAGTTTTGATTTTCCTGCCCTGATACACATGACCAGCTCATGAATACCTTTAATCAATTGGGAAACATCATTATAGACCTTATGTTTATATGTACTACAATCTGTATTTATCTGAATTTGTGTTTGGATTTAAATCATCAGAGTTCACGTGAATGTTAATTGAAGAATTATTTAACGATTCATTAGATTACAATCATAGAAGCAAGCAAGCAAATAGGTGGAAGAATTAATACATACAGGAATAGAGAAGAGGGCTGGTATGCAGAATTTGGTGCCATGAGGATCCCAAGCTTCCACTGGTGAGTTAAACCTCTATACCACAAACCCTGTGGTAAATTTCTGTCTGGATCAGAGGATGTTAATGTCTTTTTTTTTTAACCCATTATACTTTACATATGCTATTTGTTAAATCTGACATGTATCTAAACAATTATTAGCATCAAGCATTCAGCATATAAAACATATAAATTTCAGTATATGTTTTTAACTTTTTTAGTGGGAAATTTAGACGTGACATGTGTACCCTACTAACATCTAGGACTGTTGCATGTTTTGTTTGTTTGCATGTTTTTCCGTTTCTTATGTTCTGTAAAGCTGCTTTACAAATTAAAAGCGCTATACAAATAAAATTGAATTGAATTGAATTGAATATTAACTTTCTTAGTAATGGATAAAGATTGATAAATTATTTTGATCAGCAGCAGACTATTTTCATAGATAATGAAACAGAGCTGAGCTTAAATCACAAGGTTATGCAAAGCATTTAACTAGAGGAATCAAATCTAGTCAAGTCTAATCAAAAAGGGTAATAATTAACCCAGTAAATAATAATTTTGATAATGGTCAGTTGTGATTCCCAACACTATAACAAAACTTAAAATTTAAAGTCTCTGCTTCAATTTGAGAACCAAAGGTCTACAGTATATTTCAGGTCATTTTCTTTCTTTCTTTCTTTCTTTCTTTCTTTCTGTCTGCGTGTCTGTCTGTCCAGGATTCTCAGGAATTTCACATCAAAGCTGGGTCTGAAACTGAACAAATTCACTGAAGAAGACATAAATACTTACTATTACATCAATGGCCTCCTTCACAAAACTTACAAAGTGAAGGAGAATCCTGATGTGCTAAACTACCCCTTAAGAAAGGAGGAGAGAGGAAAATCAGCCAGTGACCTTTTCAGTGAATCCTTGTGGAAGGTCTGTATGAGGGAACAGATATTTACATTTTTTACGTTTCATTAGCCTGATTGAAAATAATTTTCATTGTTTTCTAGATAAGAGAGTATATAAAGTCATATGGCTGCAGTGCAATGATACGCAAGTATGATTCATACTCTCTTAAGGTAATGAACCTATAACTTGAATTATTCTAACTTAAGTTAAACCTAATCAATTTGGTTATGAACAGACGTGTGTTTAATTGGACAGGAGTATTTGGTGAAAGAGGTAAACATGAGTGATGGAGCCTTGCGCATGATTGGAGACATCCTTAATGAGAACAGCTTCTACTACATTTCTCTCATGGAGAGTCTCTACCTGCAGTCTGATGTAAATGATGACACATCGTAAGTAGAGTTTAACAAAATGTGAATTGGGGGTGGACAAATCACTTATCCGGTTGCCCGGGACACGCATATTACTTATCAGTTACATATCAGTTTTTTATTCACAGCTGACAAGCAGGTTTATTCACATAGACAAACAGGTTCAGTAGGCTCGTGCAGAACCATTTAGTATAGAAAGATGAAATTCTACTCCCTGTTGACTTCTGCAACGGTAAACTTTTCTTTTGATATGTTTTGGTTCATTACTTCTCAGTGATGCAAAGTTCCTCAAGGCTGTGCCGTACTTTACTCTGTTTCCGCATCCCGCCAAAGGACCTGAGAATATGGTCTGGCTGTTGGTGGGATTTTTACTAGGCATATTAATTAGCTTAAAGAGGCAATATTTCCAGGAATATGAAGGAAATGCTGACAAAACTGAGCAAAACTGAGCAAAAAGAGTGAGCAGAAAAACAGTGCAACACAACACACAGTCACGGAAATGAAGACGCTAGTCAGTTTCAGATAATGTTTTATTTGCAATGAGACACCACCGCAGATAATAGCCAACATGTTAGCCGAAGTCTCTTAGTCTTTTTTTTTTGAGAGTGCAAGCACAATGCTTCATGACCTGTGACATTTAAGACTATGACTACATAAAGTCTCCCCTCCCATGGATTCAAGCGCTCCCTTATTTTCCAGCACAATTTTGCAGTCACCTACTGTGGCTCTACTATGTTACTGATAATTGTTGTAGGTGATATGTAAGGAGTAAAACATGGTGAGGAAAACAATCCATGCTGTGAAGCAGATTTACTAACTCCAAAGTTGATTATTTCCTACAACAGCATGTTTTATTCCTCTTATACCACATCGATTTGTCAATGATGGCAATGATACAATTTTTTATAGTTAGTTTATAGTTTAATGTTGTGGATGTCCATGAAACAAGTAAGTTTCCGTTATCACTTACATTACAGCAGCTATAAACAGTTGCTCCTTCACTAGCCTCTCTTTTTTTTTCTCTTGAAGTTAATAAGACAAAAAAAAAAAAAACACAGCTTGTCATGTTATCAAGAAACCAGAAAGTGCAAAATGTCTCTGTTCTGAAGACTTTCATGTGGTGGAAAACTTACTGACTATTACAGTAGTAATAGTCTTTTATTATTATTAAGTACTGACACTGGAGACTCCTTCCATAAATGTTAAATAAACATCTCCTTACCATATCAACAGTTATATGTCTTTGTTAGCTAACAACACGTTTATTATTGGGCTAAGGTTATGTACTGAATGTACGAAGTGTCCGCCATACAAATTCCTATGAATGAGCTGTTGTTATAGCAATGATAACGTATTAGAACAAGTGCATTAATGTAAACTCGTGATTTGAATTACAGCTGGCACTACTGTTAGAGCTGCTGTTATAGAAAATTAATCAACACCATGTGAGCAGTCAGATTTGTGAATTCAACAGTGGTATAAATATAAGTACTTCTTTATATTCTGTTCTTTTCCAGATATTCTGAGATCACGGGTGGCTTTCAACAGTTACCTGAAAGTTTTTATCAAATCCTCAATGCCACAATCCTCCT